TTGTTGACTGTCGTATACAAAGCCCAAAATCATATCCGTTTGGTCGTTATCGCGTGGATTCAGTGGCAGGGCTTCAACTTTCCAGATGGTGGGCACTCGACCCTATGGCCACACATCACATATTCAATAGAAATTACATTAATATTTCACTATTAATACCTCGTGTGTTTAGAAATGAAAGTGAAACCCTAGTTAATTCCCTAATTATCAAATGACTTAACAGTTTTAATATACAGATAAGACAGTTATTTACAGTACGGAAGTAGACACACATTTACAAACTACCGGTGCTTTTATGACAGATATATTATGGGATTTAAAATGCTGTGAAGGTGTGTGTGTTAAAAGGGTGTTGAAACATGTTAAGATGGAAATTTAAAATGACATACCTGTGCACACCAGGTATCGTCGGGCAGGTATAGCGTAACCGGCAATGTATACGACTGGTTAGTGTTGGTACACAACCGACACCCGGTCACAGCCCATACCTCCTGATGCCATCCTATAAACCACTGTTTGTTTCGTATCTTTTCGGGTAAAGTGACAGCAATTGAGACGTAATGAGTCAGTTGAGGTATATATCCTAAGTCCAACAGTAGATACAGTAATTAATTATTTTATAACAAACAAAATATATTCTCTCTCTCAAAATGATACATAAATTTTTAAGTTAGTTATAAACTAAATTAAAAGTATAGTCACAATGGATTTGAAGATATATTATATACTTGTAAATTTGATAGGTAAACATACCTACGGCCTGAGGGTACCCATAAATAATTACATAAATTATATTTATCAATATATTAGAAAACTATCAAATAATAATTTACAGTTTATATAAATGACATATCAGTTAAAACTTATAAGTAGTGAATGAATATAACTAACAAAAACAACCAATGCTTTAGTGATTAAGCTATAGATGTATACAAAACTGATGGTATGATTACTGGGAACGAAGTCCACTTCGGCGAAGAGCGGTAGACCACGGATTAGCGGATAGACAGTCTGTTCGTAGTAAAGGATCCTGATCGCACGGATACCATTGTTTCCCTCTATGTTGATCAGTGATTCATTATTAAAACATATACAGAAATCACCTTGCGCTATTAAATATATTTAAAATGCTTGGTTACTTACTAACATCAACCAAGTTTTGCAGGAAACCGGCCAACACTAGTTCACCGCATATATCAATAATTATAATTAGATAATAATTAACTACATTTGCGTTCATTATATAACTAGATATAACGATAATGATTATTAGATATCACATAATGTATAATAAATGATAGTTTAATTTTCAAATGAATTTCATTCACATTTCAGTGGCCGACAGACAGTGAAAGACATATCTGTTTCATAACTCAATGAAATAAAAATAAACAAAATTTGATTTATTAATTTCCACTTTTCATTTGTTATACATTTTTTCGCCGACAATAAAAACTAAAAAGAGATGACATTTCGAAATATATGTCACAAAATATAATTAAGTTATTGTTATCTCATCGCCCATTATATGTGTTGTGTACAGCCTATGGTAATACTCTATTACTAATACATTATTGTGTTATTGCTTTTATTATGTTATATAAATCGGTAATACAGTATTACTATTAACACAATTGTTTACATTATAAATAAGTAGCCAAGGTAGACAATTGTTTGACAAACAATCTATATATTATGTAGATAGCAGATAGGTGTAATACTTTAATAATAAATGTACTATTTGGTTCTTCCTGTCTATCCCTGGTTTGTCAGTCTTTGTATCACTATTACAATTCACTTGAATAGTTCTCCATAGAATTAACATTTAAATAATTGCAGTATTATTTATTTTTAAATAGTTTTAAATCGTTGAAAGGCTTTCAAGTTTAATGTCAATGCTCTGTAAAATTTATGGTTATATTAATATGTTTTTACAAATACAAAAATTATATTGTCATTAAAATGTTTCTGTTAAAAATATAATGTAAACAATTTTGAATATAATCAAAGGATAAGATTTTTCCAACTCGATTTTTAATTTAGAAAAAATTTAAATATTGATAGTTTGTTGGTTAATTTACTGACATATGAAATGCATAATTAATTACAATCGCAACTACAATACACAATATAAGTATAAATATATGCCAAGAATTTGGGGAAATATAATCATCAACTGGTGAATGAGGTATAGGAGGGGACAAAGCAGTAGTTAAATCAGTGGTCACATCAGTGGTCAATTCGGTATAATGTAATTTAAACATTAAAAAGTCACAGAAAACTGAATAATTATTAGATTTAAGTCTATTTAACATTGAATTAAAATCCTTGTGTTTCATTACAATAGACTTATCGATAGACCACTCTTTATAGTTAGCCAACACTTGCCGAGACTCAGGCCTTTGTCTCCAATTGGGTGTTGACATCATTGCCAGAAGTGTCCGATATATACACTCTAAGGATGTCTTAAATTCTGAATCGTTTGCCACAAAAGTTTGCGTACTTTATATAAATAGAGAATATTATAATAAATTAAGTAAACACTAAATACATTCAAAATACTTACGCCTGAAGATCGACATTAAATAACTGTTCGCCGATAACATAGAGGCTATAAATATCTGATTTATGAGTATATGGTTTACCCAAATGTGTTTCGGGAGACATATACTTAATAGTGCCCACAACTGAGTGGCCGTATCGGCTGGAAGTGTGTCCATCAATATTGATCTCTTTGGCTAAACCAAAGTCACAAAGTTTTATGAAACGATTGGATTTGAAGTTGGGATCAATTAATATATTGTCGGGTTTGAGATCCCGATGGATGATTAGAGGGTTAGACTCGTGAAGGTATTGAACGCATTCTAACAGTTCTTTGAATATTTCACATGAAATGAAATACTCGAACACACTATTCATCTGGTCTTCCGGTTGTCTCTCAAAGACATTGGCTTTGTTTTTGAGAATTGTTGTTAGATTTAGTTCACAGAATTCCATTTGAATGTAGAGATAATTGCATTCAATCCATGAGTGATAGTATTTAACCACAAAATCTGACTCCAGTTTTGACAAACTCTTTACTTCATTCAAAACTCGGAGTTTCTTTTCTGCACTAAAATCTATAAAAATAATTGTTTTTTGAATTTAATACAAAATATTGTTTTTAATATTTACCCTCAAATTGTACTCTTTTAACGGCATATATCTTATCATCCAATCTATGCTTTACTTTAAATACAGTCCCAAAACCACCCGAACCTACGGTCGAGATTTCAAGGAATTGTTTCTCATAATTACTATCACTTGAAATATCAATATAATTGTGTATATTTTTAGATTTATTTTGCAAAATTTTTATCTTTTCTCGAATTTCTTTCAAATCAATTGTATTATAAGTTATTTGGTATTCATTGGCATAAAAGTCAATAAAACTATTGTATTTTGTTTCTTTCAATTCGTTGTTCCACATTTCAGGTATTATTGTATGTATTTTATCGTTCATTAAAATACATATAAAGTCAGTCCTATGATTACATGAATAGATTTGTTCCAATTCAATAAGACAATTTTTTGCGTCTATTTTTATGGGGCCCCTTAATAAAAGTGGGCTTAAAATTTTGTCAATTCCAGTCAATTTCAAGAAATCATCATAGAATAAACCATTTAATGTTTGAAAATATATATTTTTAAAACTACAACTAATTGTTTTCACATCATTTATAGATAATATTAATCGGGGTTTAAATACTTTATCATTGCTTATATTGTGTCCCAATTCATTAAAACGATTGTCTCCCCAACTGAAGACATGTCCATCAGATGTGATGGCAAATGATGAGCAATACGAGCAATAAATGGATTGTATTTTGTGACTATTTATAAATTGTATTTCAATTGGTGTACAAATAGATTTATTATTATCTTCACAACCAATTTGTCCAAATTTATTCCAACCCCAGGCATAGACCCGGCCATCACTGCTTAGGGCCAGAGTGTGTTCATAACCACAACTGAGTTTTATAATATTTATGTCATTAAAATATGATATTATTTTAGGTTTTAGACAATGTTTTCCAATATTATCACTTCGTGCTAATTGTTCATCATAATTACTGCCAAAACCGTATATTATATTCATATCATTCACGGCTAACACAAAATTACATCCATTGACAAAGTATTGTATGTTTTGGTGACATAATTGTGGGATTACTTCTGGTGTAAGTATAGGGTTGTCGTGTCCTAAACCCAGACATCCCCTGTAATTATTACCAAAGCCAAACACTTTCTGATCTAATGTCACAAATAAAACATTGGAATTTTTATTTAAATCATTGAAAACGTGTAATTTTGATATATTTTGTTTAATATCTGTCGGAATGTTATCACAAATTTTAAACTTGTCTAATAATTCACACATTTTCACAAAATAATAATTAATTTTATAAATAATTATTACAATTACATTCAATGCACTCAAACTGTTATATTTATGTTTAATTATATGTATAAGAATTTCAACAAATAAAATACGTATATTTGTGTAATAGTAAGTCTAACAATACATTTCTATTGAAAATAGTTATAATAATCATTGAAAGGGCTTGACTTTTATTCTTGTCGCGACGAAACGTCCCGTCGTCCCGTCGCGACGGGACAGATTGTCCCGTCGTTCCGTCCCGTCGGTCTGTCCCGTCGTTCCGTCCCGTCGGTCTGTCCCGTCGTTCCGTCCCGTCGGTCTGTCCCGTCGTTCCGTCCGTTCGGTCTGTCCCGTTGTTTTGTCCCGTCGTTCCGTCCCGTCGTTCCGTCGACCCGTCGATAAATTTTACATGTATGTTTAATATATATAGTCAATGTAGAATTTAGCGCTGAGTTCGAATCTACAATCAAAAATATTTTATTTTAAATATTTTTCGAGTTATTCGACTTAAAATGTTTTTTATCAAAAATTTTAAAATGACATAATTTATTAATATGATATATGTGTTTGATGTGGATTTAAACGCTGATTAATATTATCAAATTGGTTTCAAAATTAAATGTATAATATTCGATCTTTTCGACTTTAAAATGTTAAAATTTGAATAACTTTAAAAATATTAAATGTAGAAGATTGGAAATTTAAAATTCGAAATCAGCGTCTGATTCTACATCGAAATCATATAGCATGTGAATAAATTACGTCATTTTAAAATTTTTGATAAAAAAAACATTTTAAGTCGAATAACTCGAAAAATATTTGAAATAAAATATTTTTGATTGCAGATTCGAACTCAGCGCTGAATTCTACATTGACTATATATATTAAAAATACATGTAAAATTTATCGACGGGTCGACGGGACGGAAAGACGGGACAAAAAACAGGACAGACCGACGGGACATCCCGTCGCGACGGGAATAAAAGTCAAGCCCTCATTGAAAACTATTGGAAACACAGATTAATTGTTATAATATATTATAAAACTTGATAATAACTATTGTTTGTAATGTCGACTAAAATGCCATAAACTAAAGGTTTTGCAATTAATCATTTTATTAATCTGTTATATAATTACAATTGTAGTATTTATAAATAAACTTATTAGAAGTAACCAAGGTGTGACATTGTTTGGCAAACAATTTACATGTACATGTATTTATAGCACATGCACTATATAGATAGCAGATAAGTATAATAAATGTACTTTTAATAATAAATGTATTCTGTAACTGTCCTTGTCTATCCCTGGTTTTAATCGGTATTTGTATCATTAATACAATTATTCAATACAGTTCTTCATACAATTAACCTCCGCAACCTATTTGTCCAAATTTATTCCAACCCCAGGCATACACCCGGCCATCACTGCTTAGGGCCAGAGTGTGTTGTGCACCACAACTGAGTTTTATGATATTTATGTCATTAAAATGTGATATTATTTCAGGTTTTAGGCTATGTTTTCCAATATAATCACTTCGTGCTAATTGTCCGCCACGATTACAACCAACACCGTATATTATATTCATATCATTCACTGCTAATACAAAATCACTTCCATTGACAAAGTATTGTATATTTTGATGACATAATTGTGGTATTATTTGTGGTGATAGTATAGGATTGTTGTGTCCAAATCCTAGACATCCCCTGAAATTATTGCCAAAACCAAATACTCGCTGATCTGATGTCACGAATAAGACGTTAGATTTTCTTTCAAAATCCTTGAAAACGTGTAATTTTGATATTTTTTCTTTAATATCTGTCGGAATTTTTTCACAAATTTCAAACTTGTCTAATAATTCACACATTTTCACAAAATAATAATTAATTTTATAAATAATTATTACAATTACATTTAATACACTAAAACTTTTTAAAATATCTTAAATGTAAAATTATTTAACTAATAAAATACCTTAACGGGCGACCCAAAGGGAGGGTTGTGTCGGGGGTTTAGTAATGGACTGTTTGTCCATCCGGTTGTCTAATTGCCAGAATAGCGGCACAATTAGCCATTCAAGTGCCACAAAAACAATAATTATTGACAAGAAAAAAGTGCGTTTTGGTGCTTTCTTCCCAAAAAAAGCAATTTTCTAATTCATTGTTACGAATATTAAAGTTGTGTCAATACAATGAGTCAAACATTACTTTATCTAAAGTTAAGTTTTTCTGTGAAGAAAGCACTAAAACGCACTTTTCTCTTGTCTATAATTAGCCAATAAATGTTATGCATATACTCAGCACAATTGTGAATTATTTTTAAATTAGGTTTTGAAAATGTTATTCTCAATTTACAAACATTTTTAAAATAAACTTATGATTAACTTAGGCATTTATAAATCATGACGCAATATAACCGCCGATTTTTGTAATGATTACCTAAACATGTTTTCCAACTTATGGTAATGTATAGCAATGCTTGTAAACTCATATTTAAATGTATAGATAGTCATTGCAAAAATGGGGGTTAACTTCAGTTATGGTTTATATTAAAAATTTTTATAATATATTTATTAAGCATTAATAATTAGGCTTTCATATGACATGTTAATTAATTCATTAAATTAACTCCGTTTTTGAACAATAAATAGATTGTATTATATGACTTGTGAGTTGTATGTCAATTGATGTACAAATATATTTATTGTTCTCTCCACAACCAATTTGTCCATGTTCATTTCAACCTCAGGTATAGACCCGGCTATCACGGGTTAGGACCAGTGAGTGCTCATAACCACAACTGATTTGTATAAATGATAAATGTGTTGCTAAAAATTAACAATATTTATAATAAAATGCTATTATTAAGTTTATTGTTTGATAAAAAACATTATGTTTTATGGAACATACAGTAATACTGTAACAGTATTATTAAATAAAATATATTTTATAAAATTAAATTTTATTACTTTGTTTTACGAAATAAAATCTCATAAAAAATTAAATTATTATTAGATTTGAATTTCTGTAAAACTGAATTGAATTCTTTGTGATCTTTGATAAATGTCTTATCGATTGACCACTCGTTATATTTAGCCAACACTTCCCGACACTCAGGTCTTTGTTGCCAAAAAGGTGTTGACATCATTGACAGAAGTGTTTCATATATACATAGTTTGCATGACTTTAACGATTCATTTTCGTTAAATGATTGCGAGCTATAAATGCATAAAATAATCAAAATATACAACAAATATGATAAAAATATGTGTAAAATCTTATTAGATAAGACTTACACTTGAAGATCGATGTCAAACAACTGCCTGTCGATTATATTTAAGCTATAAATATCTGATTTATGGTTATATTTACCACTATATACTTCGGGTGCCATATATCTAGAAGTGCCCACAACTGAGTAACTCGCGGTCTGACCACCGCTGGTCTCTTTGGCTAAACCAAAATCACACAGTTTTATAAAACAATTGGATCTAAAGTTGAGATCAATTAATATATTGTCGGGTTTAAGATCCCGATGAATGACTGGAGGTTTAGATTCATGTAAATATTGAACGCATTCTAAGATCTCTTTAAATATTTCACATGAAATGAAATACTCGAACACACTATTCATGTGGTCTTCCGGTTGTCTCCCGAAGACAATGGCTTTGTTTTCAAGAATTGTTGTCAAATTTAGTTCACAGAATTCCATCTGAATGTAGAGATAATTGCATTCAATCCATGAGTCATAGTATTTAACCACAAAATCTGAGTCCAGTTTTGCCAAACTTTTTACTTCATTCAAAACTGTAAGTTTTTTTCTTTGTTAAAATCTGTGAAAATAACTGTATTTAAAAATTTCAAAAATATGTTGTATTTAAATTTGACCCCCAAATTGTACTCTTTTAATGGCATATATCTTATCATCCAATCTATGTTTTACTTTAAATACAGTTCCAAAACCACCCGAACCTATGGTCGAAGTCTCAATGAATTGACTTTTATAAATACTGTCACTTGAGTTGCAATCACTTTTATTTTTATTTTTATTTTCACTTTTAGTTTCACTTTTATTTTGTGAGAAAACTATTTTTTCTTTTAGTTTATTCATATTAATTGTATTATAAGTTATTTGGCATTCATTGGCGTAAATGTCAATAAAACTATTATAATTTGTTTTATTTTCATTCAATTTATTTCTTTCCTTTTCTTTTGATATTTTATATATATTATCGTTCATTAAAACACGTATAAATCGATTTAAATCAATGTCTGAATAAATTTGTTCCAATTCCTCATAACAATACTTTGCACGTATTTTTATGGGATATTTAGACAATCTTAAACTTCTACTAAATTTACCAGGTTCATCATCTTCATAAAAAAATAAAGAATTTGCTGTTTGAAAATATATTCCATTATCACTACAACTGATTGTTTTTACGTCATTTATAGATGATATCAATCGGGGTTTAAATATTTTATCAGCGGTTATATTGTGTCCCAATTGAAGCGTTGTATTATTACCCCAACTGAAGACATATCCACCAAATGTGATGGCAAATGAAGAGGAATGACAGCCATAAATGGATTGTATTTTATGATTATCATTGAATTGTATTTCAATTGGTGTACAAATAAATTCATTTTTATCTCCACAACCAATTTGCCCGAATTTATTCCAACCCCAGGCATACACCCGGCCATCACTGCTTAGTGCCAGAGTGTGTTGTGCACCACAATTGAGTTTTATAATATTTATATTATTAAAATACGATATTTTTTCAGGTTTTAGGCAAGCTTTTCCAATATAACCAATTTGTGCTAATTGTCCACATTGATTATTCCCAAACCCATATATAATATTCATATCATTCACTGCTAACACAAAATCATATCCATTGACAAAGTATTGTATGTTTTGGTGACATAATTGTGGTATTATGTGTGGTGGTGGTAGTATAGGAGTGTCGTGTCCTAAACCCAGACATCCCCTGAAATTATTGCCAAAACCAAACACTCGTTGATCAGATGTCACGAATAATACGTTAGATTTTTCATCATAATCATTGAAAACGTGTAATTTTGATATCTTTTGTTTAATATCTATCGGAATTTTATCACACATTTTAAACTTATTTAATAATTCACACATTTTCACAAAATAATAATTAATTTTATAAATAATTATTACAATTACATTCAATGCACTCAAACTGTTTTAAATATTTTAAATGTATAATTATTTAATTAATATAATAATTTTTTGATTAAATGTATAAGAATTCCAATAAATAAAATACTTATATTTAGTGGATTGTAAGTTTAACAATACATGTCTATTGAAAAAATTTATAACAATCATTGAAAACTATTGGAAACACAGATTAATTGTAATAATAAGTTATAAAACTTGATAATAACTATTGCTTGTAATAAAATGCCATAAACTAAGATTTTTTGTCACCTTAAAGATCGACACAAAGGGAGGGTTTTGTCGGGGGTCTAGTAATGGTCTGTTTGTCCATCCGGTCGTCTCTCTGACAATATAGTGGCACACTTAGCCATTCATGTGCCACAAAAACATTAGTTCAGGGTAAGTTTATTGCAGATATTATACAAGTTATAAATAATATTATAGTTAATAGTAGAATAAACATGTATCTCATTTAGTTTTTAGCCAGTTACTATTAATTAAATACAATTTAGTGAACAATACAATTTGTAATTTCTGAATTGTCCTCTATATTGAATCATTTTTAATTATATGAATATAAAAATTATTTTTATCAAGTAGTTTTTGAAATACATTAAGATTGATTTTATATTTAAATTAATTATGATTATAGTAGACTTTGCAAACCTACATAATATTATTGTTTATTACATAATTAGCAAGCTCAAAGTAAGACTTATACAGTATACAATAACTCAATATACGGTATTGTATTGTATTTGTATATTGAGTTAATGTTTTATTGCACACTGTTCAACGCAATTAATAATTTTTCAACATAGACCTTTTTGGTAATTAATAAATGTTATTTGCCGTTAAATATAACTTTTTAAAAATATGTACAATACCTCAAATTAATTTAATTGCAATTACTTATTAGAACACATGATCTGAGAGTAGTAAACTTTACTAACGAGTAAGTAAAGCTAATTAAATTTATTGTTTGATAAAAACATTATTATTTTATAATGAATACTGTATTGTTAAATAAAATACATGTTATAAAATTAGATTAATTTATTATTTTGTTTTATTATTTAGAGATGATTGGACTCAAGCCATGAGTTGTAAATACTAAAAATACAGTGAAATTAGCTATTATTGTGTTTTACATAATAATATTTCATAAAAAATTGGATTATCATTAGATTTGAGTGTATATAACGTTGATTTGAAATCTTTATGATTTGCGACAACAGTTTTATCGATAAATAACTGATTATATTTAGACAACACTTCCCGACAATCAGGCCTTTGCTTATAGTCAGGACTCGACTGCATTGACTGCAAAGTCTGGTACAGATTATTATAATATTTATTAAACTCGGATTCAATTGCTTGACACGAATGCAAACTATAAATAAATATAAAATATACATATTAAAAAAAATAATTAATAAAAACACTTACAGTTGAGGATCAATACTATAGATCTCTTCGGCGATTAGTGCGAGACTATAAATGTCTGTTTTGTGGTTATATTGTTTATAATGGTATACTTCGGGTGATATATATCTTCAAGTGCCCACACCTAACGTATGGTCGTATCGGCTCGCGGTTTGCCTATTGATGTTGTGATCGGTGGCTAAACCAAAGTCACACAGTTTTATGAAGCGATTAAACCTTGTGTTGTGTTCGAGTAATATATTGTCGGGTTTGAGATCCCGATGAATAACAATGGGATCTGATTCGTGAAGATATTGCACACATTCCAGGATTTCTTTGAATATTTCGCATGAAATGTAATATTCAAATACACTATTAATTTTATCTTCCGGTTGTCTCTCGAAGACAATGGGTTTAACTTCAAGAAGAGATTTAAGACTTTGCGAACAAAACTCCATTTGAATAAAGAGATGATTGGACTCAAGCCATGAGTGATAATACTTTACAACATATTCTGAGTCCAGTTTTGATAAACTTTTCACTTCTTTTAAAATATTTTGTTTCTTTTCTTCACTAAAATCTGACGAAATTAAGGAAATTATTGTTAAAAATATATTATAAACAAATGCATACAAATAATAATATTTACCCCCAAATTGTACTCTTTTAATTGCATATATCTTATCATCTAATCTATGCTTTACTTTTAATACTGTCCCCCTAACCACCCGAACCTATCGCTGACATCTCAATGAATTGTCTTTTATAAATACTGTCACTTGAATTATCACTCAAATCGCAATCAATTTTATTTTCACATTTGTTTTGCGATGACATTATTTTTTGCTGCGTTTCTATCAAATCAATTGTATTGTAAGTGATTTCGTATTCATTGGCGAAAAAGTCAATAAAACTCTTATACTTTGTTTCAATTATGTTTTCATTGTCTGGTATTTTATGTATTTTATCGTTCATTAAAACACAAATAAAGTCAGTTTTATGCATAAATGAATAGATTTGTTCCAATTCTTGAATGCAATACTTTGAAGTCATTTTTGACGGATTATTTCTTCGAAATATTGATGCAATTTTATTACCTAAATCTAAATAATTTCTCCATATGTATAAAATGTATAAATCATTTGATAGAAAAAAAGTTTTATAAGTACAATTACAAATTGTTTTCACACTATATATCGATGATATCATTCGAGGTATAAATACTTTCTCATCGCTTATATTGTGTCCCAATTGATTGTTTCTATTGTTACCCCAACTGAAGACATGTCCATCAGATGTGATGGCAAATGACGTGCAATAAAAGCAATAAATGGATTGTATTTTATGACTATTTTGGAATTGTATTTCAATTGGTGTACAAATATATTCATTATTATCTCCGCAACCAATTTGTCCGAATTTATTCCAACCCCAGGCATATACCCGGCCATCACTGCTTAGTGCCAGAGTGTGATCAGTACCACAACTGAGTTTTATAATTTTTATATTATTAAAATATGATATTATTTCAGATTTTAGACACGCTGTACGATCAGTTCGTGCTAATTGTCCACTGACATTGCAACCAAAACCGTATATTATATTCATATCATTCACTGCTAACACAAAATCACATCCATTGACAAAGTATTGTATGTTATAATTACATAATTGTGGGATTACTTCTGGTGTAAGTATAGGTCTGTCGTGTCCTAAACCCAGACATCCTCTTCTATTATTGCCAAAACCAAACACCCGCTGATCTGATGTCACGAATAATACGTTAGATTTTTTATTGAAATCTTTGAAAACGTGTAATTTTGAAATGTTTTGTTTAATATCTGTCGGAATTTTATCACAAATTTCAAACTTATTTATTAATTTACACATTTTCACGAAATAATATTGCAACGGATTACTCAATACTCCGTTCATATTACAGCATTTTTTCTTCTCTTATACTCTTAAGTGCATTACAGTAACTTTATATCCATTAGTACTGTATCCCAATAGTTTACTAATGCACTTGCAGTGCACTTATAAGTTACTCTACTTACACTATTCTTTGTTACTTATGACTCATTATTACCCATTATAGACGTAACTGTTACCTATTATTATCACTTTCAGCTACACTGCTGTGCTCTTTTCATTTCCTGAGATTCACTCACAAAATCAGTCACTTTTACCGTATCGGGTTACTGTACCAGTTACCTGTAACTGTTGCCTTACAGGCCTTTAACCAATTAGATTGTTTAAATCTTATTGTTTAGCCCCTAATCAGCCCATACACTCCCATATACTCCACCCATACGGCACATGTGTGGTGCCCATATGACCCACTATATAACCCAGATACCGGCACTCGATCACCGGTTGGGGTTGGGAAGAGACGCTCGTTGGCTTAACTCTTGGTTCTTATTAATAACTATATTATTCCCATAACTATTAACATCTATATAAACCCTATATCTCTATATTATTTAAATGTTGTTAAGCATAATAAAATAGTAATTACTACCAACCTATGGCCTACCATTATTCACCGAGTAAAGACGATTAATAAGCCAAGAGACTGTAGGCATATACCGTCGGGAGGACGACGCGGACCGGCCTAATGGCCACCACATCGATAATGAGATAAGTATTGATTGTAAAGCCAATTACTAAATCATAGGGTAATGTAGACAATTGATAGCGGGGATAGTAGCGGTAAGTCGGCCGATGGTCAGATATGAGCGTCCATAGTTAGTAGATACGACCGATCGGCTCATAAAACCGTTACAATATTTAAGTTTGTAAATAATTACTACAATTACATTGAATGAACTCAAACTGTTTAAAATATCTTAAATATAAAATTATTTAGTTAATAAAATAAATTGTTGCTTAAGAATTATAAGAAATATACGAATTCCAATAAATAAAATACTTGTATTTGTGTATTAGTAAGTCTAACAGTACATTTCTATTGGAAAAATTTATAATAATTATTGATAACTATTGGAAACATTGATTAATTGTAATAATAATTTATAAAACTTGATAATAACTATAGTTTGCAATAAAATGTCATTAACTAAGCCTTTTCACCTTAAAGAGTAGTGTAATTTTATTGGTGATAATATACAATTTATAAATAATATAACTGTTAAGGCATTGTTTGCTCATAACCACAACTGATTTGTAGGAATGTGTTGTCATGTATAAGGATTAACAACACTTAAAATAAAATGTTATATTTCCGGAGAATATAACTTTTTAAAATCTCCAATTAATTTAATCGGAATTAATTAATGGAACTCATTATCTGAGGGAACTAAAAATAATTTAGTTTATTGTTTCATAAAAATGTTATTTTGTTATGATGAATAAATTATTATGATTCGTGTTATTAAATAAAATGTTTTTATAAAATTAATTAAATAATTACTTTGTTTTGCGAAATAAAATCTCATAAAAAATTGAATTATTATTAGATTTAAGTTTCTTTAAAACTGAATTGAATTCTTTGTGATCTTTGATAAATGTCTTATCGATTGACCACTCGTTATATTTAGCCAACACTTCCCGACACTCAGGTCTTTGTTGCCAAAAGGGTGTTGACATCATTGACAGAAGTGTTTCATATATACATAGTTTGCATGACTTTAACGATTCATTTTCGTTAAATGATTGCGAGCTATAAATGCATGAAATAATCAATATATTCAACAAATATGTGAAAAATATGCGTAAATTTTTATTAGAAAAAACTTACGCCTGAAGATCGATGTCAAACAACTGCCCGCCGATTATATTTAAGCTATAAATATCTGATTTGTGGTTATATTTCCCACTATATACTTCGGGTGCCATATATCTAGAAGTGCCCACAACTGAGTTACTCGCAGTCTCACCACTGATGGTCTCTTTAGCTAAACCAAAGTCACACAGTTTTAAGATATGATTGGAATTAATGTTGGGATCAATTAATATATTATCGGGTTTGAGATCCCGATGAATGACTGGAGGTTTGTATTCATGTAAATATTGAACACATTCTAACAGTTCTTTGAATATTTCACATGAAATGAAATATTCAAACACATTATTCATGTGGTCTTTCGGTTGTCTCTCAAAGACAATGGCTTTGTTTTCAAGAATTGTTTTAAGATTCAGTTCACATAATTTCATCTGAATGTAGAGATAATTGCATTCAATCCATGAGTTATAGTATTTAACCACAAAATCTGAGTCCAGTTTTGACAAACTTTTTACTTCATTTAGAACTCGTAGTCTCTTTTCTGCACTAAAATCTGTAAAAATAATTTTATTAAAATTTAATGCAAACTTAAGTCAATTCCAATGTTTTGAAAGCTTACCCTCAAATTGTACTTTTTTAATGGCATACATCGTATCATCCAATCTATGCTTTACTTTAAATACTGTCCCAAAACCACCCGAACCTATGATCGAGATCACAATGAATTGTTTTTTATAAATACCTTCACTTGAATTATCACTCAAATCGCAATCACTTTTATTTTGTGATAAAATTATTTTTTGTTTTAGTTTATTCAAATCAATTGTATTATAAGTTATTTGGCATTCATTGGTGTAAAAGTCAATAAAGTTTTTATAATTTGTTTTATTTTCATTTAATTCATTTCTTTTTTTTTCTTTTGATATTTTATATATATTATTGTTCATTAAAACACATATAAATTCATTTCGATTATTATAAGAATAGATTTGTTCCAATTCCTCATAACAATACTTTGCACGTATTTTTGTGGGATATTTAGACAATTTCAAAATTCTACTAAATGTACCGGATTTATCATGTTCATAAAAGAATAAAGAATTTGACGTGAGAAAATATATTCCATTATAACTACAACTTATCGTTTTCACGTCATTTATAGATGATATCAATTGGGGTTTAAATATTTTATGAGCGGTTGTATTGTGTCCCAATTGAAGGAATTCATTGTTTCCCCAACTGAACACATATCCATCAGATGTGATGGCAAATGAAGAGTAATTACTACAATAAATGGATTGTATTTTAAAGCTATTTTTGAATTTTATTTCAATTGGTATATAAATATATTCATAACGATCTCCGCAACCAATTTGTCCGCAATTATTCCAACCCCAGGCATAGACCCGGCCATCACTGCTTAGGGCCAGAGTGTGTTGATTACCACAACTGAGTTTTATAATATTTATATCATTAAAATGCGATATTATTTTAGGTTTTAGGAAAGCAACGCTATATTTTCCAATATAATCACGTCGGGCTAATTGTCCGCCATAATTGTTACCAAAACCGTATATTATATTCATGTCATTCACTGCTAACACAAAATCATATCCATTGACAAAGTATTGTATGTTTTGATGACATAATTGTGGTATTACTTCTGGTGTAAGTATAGGGTCGTCGTGTTTTAAACCCAGACATCCTCTGTAATTACTGCCAAAACCAAACACTCGTTGATCTGATGTCACGAATAATACGTTAGATTTTTTATCAAAATTATTGAAAATGTGTAATTTTGATATCTTTTGTTTAATATCTGTCGGAATGTTATCACAAATTTTAAACTTGTCTAATAATTCACACATTTTCACAAAATAATAATTAATTTTATAAATAATTATTACAATTACATTAAATGCACTCAAACTGTTTTAAATATCTAAATGTATAATTATTTAATTAATAAAATAATTTTTTTATTAAATGTATAAGAATTTTAATAAATAAAATACTTATATTTGGTGTAATAACAATACATTTCTATTGAAAACATTTATAATAATCATTGAAAACTAGTGGAAACACAAATTAATTGCAACAATAAGTTATAAAACTTGATAATAACTATAACTTGTAATAAAATGTCATAAACCAAGCTTTTTTGTCGCCTTAAAAGGCAATCCAAAGGGTAGGGTTGTGTCGAGGGCTTAGTAATGGTCTGTTTATTTATCGGTCGACTAATTGCCAAAATAGCGGCACAATTAACTATTCATGTGCCAAAAAACAATAATTCAGTGTAAGTTTATTGTAGATAATATACAATTTATAAATAATATTATAGTTAATAATATTATAACGTTTTGAATAATACCCCCTCTTATTGTAACCCCTGTTTTGACATAAACGACAGATACCTGAGCTGTTATTACCTGTTACTATCCGTCCTTACATACCTTAAACGCCTGCATCGGCTCCTATAGCCTGAATTCCTAAGATTGTTACCCAATTCCCTGTCATTCAATTCCTATGTTTGACTATTACTGTACTGTATATGCAATCACTTGTATGCCAATATATATCTCCCGATTCATACATTTTATCCTTAATGTTGTGCTAGACTTCAAACACAAAAGTCTTCACTCATTCACACAATACAATCATACATATAATAAATGTTGTTATCATTGGCAAATACATTATAAAGTAATGTATCCGATATAGTTTTTGATTTTATTTTAATATTAATTAAATACAATATAGTGAATAATGCCATTTGTAATTTTTGAATTGTTCTTTACATTGAAGTGTATTGAATTGTCGTGTATATTGAATCATGTTTTATTATATGGATATAAATGGATATAGAAATAAGAATTATTATACTTCTATACTTCAAGAATAAGAATTATTACTACTACCTGTACAATATCTCAAAACATGATCTGTGTGTAATAAAGATAATTAAGTTTATTGAATGATACAAACATTATTCTTTTTTATGGTGAATACAATATTAATAAATAAAATATATTTTATAAAATTAAATAAATTTATTCTTTTGTTTTGCGAATTAAAATTTCACAAAAAACTGAATTATTATTAGATTTAAGTTTCTTTAAAACTGAATTGAATTCTTTGTGATCTTTGATAATTGTTTTATTAATTGACCACTCGTTATGTTTAGCCAACACTTCCCGACACTCAGGTCTTTGTTGCCAAAAGGGTGTTGACATCATTGCCAGAAGTGTTTCATATATACATAGTTTGCATGACTTTAAAGATTCATTTTCGTTAAATGATTGCGAGCTATAAATGTATAAAATAATCAAAATATTATAAAAATACATTAAAACTGTATTTCAATAAACTATTACTATAAAGATTATGATTATTTTGATCATGATTATTTCGGTACCTCCCTCTATAATAACTTACGTAAAACAATACAAATCACCCCAAAACTTGTGCACACATTAGGCATAACTGTAGGCAAGACTTTAGGCAACGCTTTCGACATCCTTTCTGAACAGCGCTCAAAATCATTTGTACAGTCAAAACTTTTGACTCAAAAGTATTTAAGTCATGCGCAGTTGATTTGTGAAATAATCATAATCTTTATAGTTACTAGTAAACACTTACACTTGAAGATCGATATCAAACAATTGTCCGCCGATTATATTCAGACTATAAATGTCTGATTTATGGTTATATTTACCACTAAATACTTCGGGTGCCATATATCTAGAAGTGCCCACAACTGTATTACTAAAGGTCTGTCCATTTGTGTTGTTCTCTTTGGCTAAACCAAAGTCACACAGTTTTATGAAACGATTGGATCTGAAGTTGGGATCAATTAATATGTTGTCGGGTTTGAGATCCCGATGAATGACTGGGGGTTTGGATTCATGTAAATATTGAACGCATTCTAAAAGTTCTTTAAATATTTCGCATGAAATGAAATACTCGAACACATTATTCATGTGGTCTTCCGGTTGTCTCCCGAATACAATGGCTTTGTTTTCAATAATTGTCTTAAGATTTTGTGAACAGAACTCCATTTGAATGAAGAGATGATTGGACTCAAGCCATGAGTGATAATACTTTACCACAAAATCTGAGTCTAATTTTGCCAAACTTTTTACTTCATTTAGAACTTGTCGTCTCTTTTCTTCACAAAAATCTGAAAAACATTTATACAAAATTTTATACCAAATTCATATAACATAGTTTTTGTGTAACTTACCTTCATACACCACTCTTTTAATTGCATATATTTTATCATCCAATCTATGCTTCACTTTAAATACAGTCCCAAAACCACCCGAACCTATGGTTGACATCTCAATGAATGTGTTTTTATAATTTCCATCACTTGACGAATCATTTGAATCGAAATCTTTTTTATTTTCACATTTGTTTTGTGACAATATTTTTTCCTAAATTATCAACTCGATTGTATTGTAAGTAATTTCAAATTCATTGGCGTAAAAGTCAATAAAACTATTATAATTTGTTTCAATTATTTTATTATCTTCTGATACTTTATGTATTTTATCGTTTATTAAAACACAACAAAAGTCAGATTTAACACCTAGCCCGCTAACTCCTCCTCCATCAAATTGAGAGGTGTGTTAAAAAATGATAAAGTCAAGCTCAAATCCGTTACGGTCGTATACTAAGAATATACTGAGACTGAGTTTAAACTCGAGTTAATCCTTTTGGAGACTGAGGTTGAGCTCAAACTCGAGTTTCTATACCAAAAAAGGTTTGAACTGGATCTCGAAAAGTTGAACCTCAACTTTGCGCATATCGATAGCGCAAACTCTATCGGGCATTTGTTTACATGAAAACAGGTTTCACATGTAAACAAACTATGTTTAAACATAAAACATATTTTAGGGTTCTTGTTGTGGAATTATATTATAAAATTTACATTTTTACAACAGAAAAGGCAAAAATATATTATTTAAATTTTAGAAACAGATAAATATTCTTGTGACTACCAAGTGAAAATTTATTTAATTATTAAAATATTTATTAAGTAAATAGTGGAAATTAATATTAAATATGCATTAATAGCGTACATTTAAATAATTATGTCTACGATATTGTTGATGTCTCTAAAAATCTGTTGGTCATTATCCATTGGGATATATCCGGCATTCTTCATGTCTTTACCATTTTTTAAAAATTTGTTTACTGTTGTAAACACTACTGTGAGGCCAAATTTCAGGGATAAAGTTGATGTCACTCAGTCTTGAGATTTGCCTGAGTTTGAGCTCAACCTTGAGACCAAACTTTGCTGAGTTTGATTTTTGAATAGAAGTCGAGCTCAAACTCAGTCTTAAAACTAAACCTCAATCTTAAGACTCATTTTAGTATAGCACTGTTAGTTTTGGAGTCGATGGTGATTTTTGACTCACCTTGGTAAATTTGACTTTTAATCAATCAAGATCTGTAAAATTATTAATCAGCCAATGCTCATCATTAGTACAAAAATTAATTGTAATATGACTTTCAATTGGCCTGGAAGTTACTTCCAGCGGCAAATATTATGAATTAAACATAAATGAATAGATTTGTTCCAATTCTTGAATGCAATACTTTGAAGTGATTTTTGACGGATTTTCTCCCAGAAATATTGATGCAATTTTATTAAGTAAAGCTCGTGAACGACTTTTCCATACATATAAAAAGTATAAATCATTTGTTAAAAAGAGTTTTTTATCAATACAACTACCAATTGTTTTCACTCTATCGATCGATGATATCATTCGAGGTATAAATACTTTCTCATCGCTTATTTTGTATCCCAATTGATTGACATCATTGTCACCCCAACTGAACACATGTCCATCAGATGTGATAGCAAATGAAGATAAATACGAGCAATAAATGGATTGTATTTTATGACTATTTTTGAATTGTATTTCAATTGGTGTACAAATATATTCATTATTATCTCCGCAACCAATTTGTCCCCAATTATTCCAACCCCAGGCATACACCCGGCCATCACTGCTTAGTGCCAGAGTGTGTTGAATACCACAACTGATTTGTTTAATATTTATATCATTAAAATGTGAAATTATTTCAGGTTTAAGGCATTCTTTTCCAATATGATCACTTCGGGCTAATTGTCCGACAAAATTACTACTAAAACCATATATTATATTTATATCATTCATTGCTAACACAAAATCACTTCCGTTGACAAAGTATTGTATGTTTTGATGACATAATTGTGGTATTATTTGTGGTGATAGTATAGGACTGTCGTGTCCTAAACCCAGACATCCCCTGAGATTATTGCCAAAACCAAACACTCGCTGATCTGATGTCACGTATAATACGTTAGATTTTTTTCATAATCATTGAATACGTGTAATTTTGAAATGTTTTGTTTAATATCTGTTGGAATTTTATCACAAATTTTAAACTTGTTTAATAATTCACACATTTTCACAAAATAATTTTATAAATAATTATTACAATTACATTCAATGCATTCAAACTGTTTTAAATATCTTAAATGTAAAATTCTTTAATTAATAAAATAATTTTTTAATTAAATGTATAAGAATTATAATAAATAAAATATTTATATTTTGTGTAATAGTAAGTCTAACAATACATTTCTATTGAAAACATTTATAATAATCTTTGTAAACTATTGGAAACACAGATTAATTGTAATAATAAGTTATAAAACTTGATAATATCTATAGCTTGTAATAAAATTCCATAAACAAAGTATTTTACATTAAAGGGCTGTGTAAGTTTATTGTATTTAGGTAATATACAATCTAATATACTTTAGATAATATACAATACCGGTATATAAATAATATTATAGCTAATAATATAAAGTACATGTATCTGATATAGTTTTTAGTTTTATTTTAATGTTAATTAAATACAATTTTAGTAAACAGCACAGTTTTTAATTTCTGGATTGTTCTCTATATTGAATCATGTTTGATTTTATGAATAAAAAATTATCAACTCGTTTTTAAAATAAATTAAAATAAATTTTATATTCAGATTAATTGTTATTATAGTACTCTGCAAACTCACTCACTATCGTTTATTACATAATTAGCAAGCTGAAAGTATACATTGTACTGTATACAAAGTTAATGTTTTATTGCACACTGTTCAAGTCAATTAATAATTTTTTAACATAGAGCGTTTTTGTAATTAATAAATGTTATTTTGTAGTTTCAACTGAATTGACTCTCAATTGAAAGTGAAGGCTTCGTTTATAATATATATTTATTCAATACAATTAATTATTATTGATCTTTATCATGCTCAACCTAGTACAATTCCTGGCTATGTTGAGAAAGTTTTAATTGGTTAAACATATTATTACCATAATTTAATCCTAACTTTACTTGATCATAATTGTTTTAAACATAGGATATACACCATATGTATTAACACACGCCGTAATAAACATATCGACAGTATGCACGCGGGACTCTTATTTAGCCAGCATGATTTTAAGTGCTACTTATCCCGAGTACCTCACGTGCAACGGTTACCACGTGTTTAGTGGACCCTTTCCGGGCTATGTGGGTACCGACTTGCGGGGCAATGCTGTGCCCCTACCCGTCAACAATGCCACTGCTATTAGAATTTCTACGAATGATAAATTTAGTAATTTATAAAATACTTTATATGTTAATTTAAATAATGTTTTTAAATATATTTCTGCGCTATATTGTATTTAACTTTACATGGTATTTAGTGTATATTATACACGCATATTCTATTATATAATTGTAATTTATATAACCTAGGTGCTGCATTTGAAATAATCAAGGGCAGAATTACTGGCGGTCCATGTGTTGGTGATTTCTTTTATCAAGCTGTAAACGCAGTGCCCGTAAATCCATCAGGATGTTTTGGTAGTGGCCATAGGGGTGCAATTATAAATCATGGCATTACCACTCTCTGCTTTGTATCTTTTCGGGTAAAGTGACAGCAATTGAGACGTAATGAGTCAATTGAGGCACATATTCTAAGGTCAGAAAGTAAATACAGTAATTAATAATTTTATAACAAACAAAACATATTCTCTCTCTCTCTCTCTTTCTCTCTCTCTCTCTCCCCTCACTATACAAAAAGTATTGTATTCATAGCACTCGGATCCTCTGTGCTTATAAGTCATAAAATATAAATAACCGTTGAATTAAAAATAAAATTAATATATTCTCAAAGCCTCTCTCTCTCTCTCTCTCTCTCTCTTAAATTTGATAAATGATAGATACATTTTTAAGTTAGTTGTGAACTAAATCAAAAGTATAGTCACAATGGATTTAGAAGATATATTATATATACTTGTAAATTTTATTGGTAAATATACCTACGGCCTGAAGGTATCCAAAAATAATTACATAAATTTTATTTATCAATATACTAGAAAACTTTCAAATAATAATTTACAGTTTATATCAATAAAATATCAGTTAAAACTTAAAAGTAGTGAATTTCTATAACCAATAAAAACAACCAATGATTTAGTGATTAGAGCTATAAATGAATACAAAACTGATGGTATGATTACTGGGAACAAAGTCCACTTCGGCGAAGAGCGGTAGTCCACGGATTAGCGGATAGACAGTCGGTATATTGGGTACGAACTGTGTCTGTTCGTAGTAAAGTATCCTGATCGCACGGATGCCATTGTTTCCCTCTATGTTGATCAGTGATTAATTATTAAAACTTAAACAGAAATCACCTTGCACTATTAAATATATTTAAAATGCTTGGTTACTTACTAACATCAACCAAGTTGTGCAGCAAACCGGCCAACACTAGTTCGCCGCATATATCAATAATTATAATTAGATAATAATTAACTACATTTGCGTTCATTATATAACTAGATATAACGGTAATGATTATTAGATATCACATAATGTATAATAAATGATAGTTTAATTTCCAAATGAATTTCATTCACATTTCAGTGGCCGACAGACAGTGAAAGACATATCTGTTTCATAACTCAATGAAATAAAAATAAACAAAATTTGATTTATTTATTTCCACTTTTCATTTGTTATACATTTTTTCGCCGACAATAAAAACTAAAAAGAGATGACATTTCGAAATATATGTCACAAAATATAATTAAGTTATTGTTATCTCATTGCCCATTATATGTGTTGTGTACAGCATATGGTAATAAAGTTGCATTATTGTGTTATTGCTTTTATTATGTTATATAAATCGGTAATATTACTATTAACACAATTGTTTACATTATAAATAAGTAGCCAAGATGGACAATTGTTTGACAAACAATCTACATACTTTGTAGATAGCAGATAAGTATGATACTCAAATAATAAATGTGCTATCTGGTTCTTCCTTGTATCCCTGGTTTGTCAGTATTTGTATCATTATTACAATTCACTTGAATACAGTTCTCCATAGAATCAACATGTAAATAATGGCAATATTATTTATTTTTGAATAGTTTTAAATCGATGAAAGGCTTTCAAGTTTAATGTCAATGCTCTGTAAATTCTGTGGTAATATTAAAATGTATTTAAAAATACACAAATTATATTGTCATTAAAATATTACCGTTAGAAAATAATGTACACAGTTGAAAATATAATCCATGGATTAGAATTTTTAAACTATATTTTTAATTTAAAATTTTTTTAATTGTTAGTTGGTTAATTTACTGAGATATGAAATGCATAGTTTAACCATTTCTGATTTATTATATTATTACAATAGACGAACTTAATATTAATATTTTTTGTTTACAGATTTTTACTATGATTTACAACTCCTTTATATAAAATAATAATATTATAATGATGACTATTGGATAAATTATGGTTGAAATAATATTTTTATTTATATGTTATATTTATGTGTTTATAATTCTTGTGATTTATAGATTATTATTAAATAATTAATTACAATAGCAAATAAAATACACAATATAAATACAAATAGATGCCAATAATTAGAGAAAATATACTCATTAACCGGTGAATGATGTATAGGAGGGGACAAATCCATGGTTAGATCAGTGGACAAATCGATATAATGTAATTTAAACATTAAAAAATCATAGAAAACTAAATTATTATTAGATTTAAGTCTATTTAACACTGAATTAAAATCCTTGTGTTTTGTTACAATAGATTTATCGATAGACCAATCGTTATAGTTAGCCAACACTTCCCGACACTCAGGTCTTTGTCTCCAAAAGGGTGTTGACATCATTGCCAGAAGTGTCCGATAAATACACTGTAAGGCTGTCTTAAATTCCGAATCGTTTGCAACAAAAGTTGCTGATCTATAAATCAATAGATAATAAATTAAATAAACATTAAAGTCATTCAAAATACTTACGCCTGAAGATCGATATTAATTATCTCTTCGCCGATAACATAGAGACTATAAATATCTGATTTATGGTTATATTGTTTACCCAAATGTGTTTCGGGAGACATATACTTAATAGTGCCCACACCTGATGTATGGCCGTATCGGCTCGATGTGTGTCCATGAATGTTGATCTCTTTGGCTAAACCAAAGTCACACAATTTTATTAACCGATTGGATCTAAAGTTGGGATCAATTAATATATTATCGGGTTTGAGATCCCGATGAATGACTGGCGGAACCGATTCATGTAAATATTGAACGCATTCTAACAGTTCTTTAAATATTTCACATGAAATGAAATACTCGAACACACTATTCATCTGATTTTCCGGTTGTCTCTCGAAAACAATGGCTTTGTTTTCAAGAATTGTCTTAAGATTGTCTGAGCAGAACTCCATTTGAATATAAAGATTATTAGACTCAAGCCATGAGTGATAATATTTAACCACAAAATCTGAGTCCAGTTTTGACAAACGTTTTACTTCGTTGAGAACTGTGAGTCTTTTTTCTGCACTAAAATCTGTAAAAATATTTATACAAAGTTTTATACAAAATTTATATAAATTAGTTTTTGTGTAAACTACCTTCATACACCACTCTTTTAATTGCATATATCTTATCATCCAATCTATGCTTTACTTTAAATACAGTCCCAAAACCGCCCGAACCTATGGCTGACATCTCAATGAATTGGGTTTTATAGTTACCATCACTTGAATTATCATTTGAATCGAAATCCTTTTTATTTTCACATTTGTTTTGCGTAGGTATTATCTTTTCCTGAATGTCTATCAAATCAATTGTATTGTAAGTGATTTCGTATTCATTGGCGTAAAAGTCAATAAAACTATTATAATTTGTTTCTATTATTTTATTATTATCTGATATTTTATGTATTTTATCGTTTACTAAAATACAACAAAAGTCCGATTTATGCATAAATGAATACATTTGTTCCAATTCTTGAATACAATACATTGAAGTAATTTTTGAGGGCATATCGGCAAAAAATATTGTAATAATATCAATTTGACTAAGTAAAGTTCGTAAACAAGTTCTCCATATGTACAAAAAGTATAAATCATTTGTTAGAAAATAAGTTTTATTACTACAAATACCAATTGTTTTCACACTAGCGATCGATGATATCATTCGAGGTATAAATACTTTCTCATTGATTATTTTGTATCCCAATTGATGAACTTTATTGTCTCCCCAACTGAACACATGTCCATCACATGTGATGGCATACGAAGAAGAATTACTACCATAAATGGATTGCATTTTATAATTATTTTTGAATTGTATTTCAATTGGTGTACAAATATATTCATTATTATCTCCACAACCAATTTGTCCGCAATTATTCCAACCCCAGGCAAACACCCGGCCATCACTACTTAGTGCCAGAGTGTGTTCAGTACCACAACTGAGTTTTATAATATTTATATTATTAAAATACGATATTATTTCAGGTTGAAGGCATTCTTTTCCAAGATGATCACTTCGTGCTATTTGTCCGGCATAATTACTACCAAAACCGTATATTATATTCATATTATTCACTGCTAACACAAAACAACTTCCATTAACAAAGTATTGTATGTTTTGATGACATAATTGTGGTATTATTTGTGGTAATAGTATAGGACTGTTATGTCCTAAACCAAGACATCCCCTGTGGTTATTGCCAAAACCAAACACCCGCTGATCTGATGTCACAAATAATACGTTGGATTTTTTATTGTAATCATTGAAAACGTGTAATTTTGATATCTTTTGTTTAATATCTGTTGGAATTTTATCACAAAGTTTAAACTTGTCTAATAATTCACACATTTTCACAAAATAAAAATTAATTTTATAAATAATTACTACAATTACATTCAATGCACTCAAACTGTTTTAAATAACTTAAATGTAAAATTATTTAATTAATAAAATAAATGTTTGATTAGATGTATAAGAATTTCAATAAATTAAATATGTATATTTTGTGCAATAGAAATGGTAACAATACATTGAAAACATTAAAAACTATTGGAAACACAGATAAATTGTAAAAATAAGTTATACAACTTGATAATAGCTATGGCTTGTAATAAAATGTCATAAACTAAGCTTTTTTTGTTGCCTTAAAGTGAGATCAAAGGGAAGGGTTGTGTCTGGGGTTTAGTAATGGTATGTTTGTTCGTTAGGTTGTCTAATATAGGGGCACAATTAGCTATTCATGTGCCATAAAACAATAGTTCAGTATAAGTTTATTGTAGATAATATACAATTTATAAATAATATTATAGTTAATAATATAAAGTACATGTATCCGATCTAGTTTTTAATTTTGTTTCAATATTAATTAAATACGATTTAGTGAACAGCGCAATTATTAATTTCTGAATTGTCTTCTATATTGAATCATGTTTAATGTATGGATATAAAAATTATCATTATCACCTAGTTTTTAAAATTAATTAAAATGAATTTTATATTCAGATTAATTGTGATTATAGTAGACCCTGCAAACCGCACATAATTCTGTCGTTAATTAAAAGATTAGCAAGTTGAAAGTAAGACTAATAAAGTAAAATATATACAAAGTTAATGTTTTATTACAGCTTGTTTGCTTCAATTAAGAATGTTTAATTACAATTAAGTATTAATAATGTGGTTTATAGGATCGTTCGGCCCCTCCCTTGGTTCACGTATAGCGTTTCACGTGTGACGTTGTTTGACATAAACCTTTTTTGCAATTAATCAGTTTATGTACAATAAATGGATTGTATTTTATGACTATTTGTAAATTGTATTTCATATATATCTATTAATATTTTCACAATCAATTTGTTCACATTTATTCCAACCCCAGGCATACACCCGGCCATCACTGGTTAAGGCCAGTGTGTGTTCATAATCACAACTGATTTGTAATAATGTATTGTTATTTATAGGATTACAACATTTAAAATAAAATGTTATATTGCTGATGATTATAACTTTTTAAAAATATGTACGCTACCTCAAATTAAGTTAAGTGGACTTAATTATTGGAACACATAATCTGAGTGTAGTAATAATAATTAAAGTTATTTAATAAAAACATTATTCTTTTTATGACAAATAAATTATTATTATAAGGCCCTTAAGAAAAAAGCGGTTGTGTTTCTTGGTCGATTCCTCTGGAACTGTTGGAGTGACACTATTGTCACTTCACACATATATAGAACCACGTCGGGCAATTTTTTTGACATAAAATTTTTTTATGATCACGTGACTATTTATTGAGAAAATGAATGATTTGCGGGACCCATATTCAGAACTTACTGTGTTTGTTATAGGGAGGGGTGGGGGTTAGAGTAGGATAGAGCTAATGTCAAAGTGTTATAATAACCAAGAACCACCATTATTGGATTGCACGTTTTTACATGGCAAGTGAACAAAGTAAGCCAATTTCCCCATGTTAACCTATGGGCGGGACAAATAATTTTATATTTCAATATAATTAATTGTATTTTTAAAAACTACATTCAATGCTGATAATGTTAATAAAAAAAATTTTTGAAAAATTTCATTCCAAAGATTTATATAATACAGTATATATAAATAATATTTACGTTTTATTAGTGGTTACGTTAGTCTTTTGTGTCATTAACAGTACAACAAATGGCATTTCCCCGGCAATGGCAAGTGAACAAAGTATGCCAATTTCCCCATGTTAACCTATGGGGACGACAAATAATTTTATATTTCAATATAATTAATTGTATTTTTAAAGACTACATTCAATGCTGATAATGTTAGTAAAAAATTTTTTGAAAAATTTCATTCCAAAGATAAAATATCTTAAATTGAAAAATTCAGTTTTGGCCATAAAAACACAAAAATTCTCGATATTTCCAATATTTCAATTTAAGATATTTTATCTTTGGAATGAAATTTTTCAAAAATTTTTTTTACTAACATTATCAGCATTGAATGTAGTTTTTAAAAATACGATTAATTTTATTGAAATATAATTATTTTACGACAACTCGCCCCCTATGCCCCGATCCTAATGACAAGTCCGCAATGACGTGGACGCGTGTGTCGGCGTATACCCATTGGATTGAAGCCGTGATTACTAATAATAGCAAGTATCTCAATGGATTTCAGAATCTAACTGGACCATGGTGACTCCACAACTCCACAATCAGTAATGTACAAAACAAATGGTTGAGCAAAAATGAAATTATAATTTTATATCTATTATGTTTTACTTACAAGTTATTTATCTACATGTACGTTAATAATAATAATAATTATAATATACACACTTTAATTGTAAGAAAAATGATTCTTGACTTTGACTATAACAATGATTATAAATTTATTATCAAATTAATCTTATAAATTGACAAAATTACTATTATCAATAACATATTCGTATATTTAATAAAATTATACAATTTTAGTATTATTAAACAATATTAACTAATAAAAATGTAAAAATCAGTGATTAATGATAAACATCATGTGTTAACAATCATGTCATTTATCTCTTTTCAACGCCAATTTGTATGGATTCGGGGGTTAAGAGGAACTCAAACTTTTTGAACTTTAGCGGAACCGCTGTATTAGCCGTACGTTTGAATCGGTATTTAGTGATGAGATGCGCGACAGCAGTCTTGGCCTCCATTAACGCAAACCTCATTCCCACACAATTTCGGGGTCCCGTTCCGAACGGTAGGTAAGTGTAGGGCACTAATTGATCACGATTTTCAGGCAAAAATCTTTCGGGATCCCAAACATCGGGATTCGGGTAATACTCGGGGCTGTGATGAATGCTTTCAATGTCCAAATTCAGAAACGTTCCCTTAGGAATTGTTATTCCAGTATTGCCTGTAAAATATAATAAACTTAATTTTTATACACATTACTTTACTTACTTTAATTAACGTATTAATTACTTATTATGTATGATTAGTGTATTACAGATATACAGCAATTAAAGTTACGATTAAAATAATTAAAATAAACTGACCTAGCTTATAGTCATCTAGAGTTATTCTATTAGTGGCCGTAATTGGATTATAAAGTCTGAGCGTCTCTGCAATACAGGCCTCCAAATACGGCATTCGAGCGATTGATTCGTAGCTATAGTTGCCGTCAAAAGCTTTAATCTCTTCGTATAGTCTTTGCTGACAGTCATCTTTGAGTGACAACTCGTACGTCAGAAACAACAATAGAGTGGCAGTTGTCTCATATCCGGCCACAAGAAATAGGAAACTCGTGGCCAACATATCGTCGTCAGTGATGACCACATTTGCCGTCTTCTGGTATTTCAAAGCATCGGTTTTGCCGAAGATGTGTTCGTTGAGGTCATCGATGTCCTGATCCTCACTATTGTCTGCACTCCTATTCTGGGCGTTAATCATAAGCTGCAGATAATCCCTGTGTTTGACTGAATTGCGCTCCGATTTGCGTCGGGAGATAATCGATGAAATCTATGGACAAATTGTTATGTTTAAATTAACATGTTTAAAAAATATACAATAAATACATAAACATTTTAAAACTAACTCTCATTTAGCATTTTTCAATAATTCATAAGTTTATTTACAATGTATTTTAATATCTACTGATAGTTATATTTAAAATATCATTTACTAACCGCTGATCGGAAAAATGCTTCATTTGATGGTTTTATTGTATGAAAGCCTATTTTTTCGGTCAATTTCGGGAATGCTGTGGCCGCTAGGAATGCAGCCCATTGCCGCCAATTACCACGAAAAACTTGCTGAGCGTTGGCCACAAACTCGTTGGTTTTGGTGTCGTTATGAGTGTCTATTTGAGTGCCAAAAGCACACAACGCGATCACATCCATAGATAAGTTACCCATCGCTCGCTTCACATCCAATTCATCCCCATTTATAGCCTTTGTCTCCAAGTATTGGTCCAATCGATGGACACAATCGATGATCAGTGGATGCATTGCTCGCATCTTTCCCGATGAAAATGTCGGACTTATCTATCAATTTAAACATATATTACTTATTAAAATATTTTAAACAAAATGATCATAATTTCTATGCTATACTAACCACAGATCGCATCGCTTTCCACTCGTCTCCCATCAGATTAAACAACGACCGGTCGTTCAACGGATCGCCTAATTTCATGTCCGTGTGTTCAACAAAGTTATGAAAGTCTTTAATAGTAATATCTTTGATGAGCTCCGGGTCGGCGATCGTTAGTATCGGTCGAGAGAAAGCAAATTCCCTGTTTATTACGAGACATTTGTTTAATATAATTTTAAAGTAATATTATGCATACCCATAGACTTTTCCATATTTTTTATAGTTATCACGAGCCATTTCGTGAAGTGGCTTGGTAAACATTTCCCACATTGTGCCCATTATTACCATGGGTTTTGGTCCAGGAATACCACGATTTTTCCAATAGTTAAAGTTTTTGGTTAAATAACTGTTGATGGTAAAATTAATAAATCATTAATATTTTTATTGCAAATGAATAATGTAAATTTACACAACATACAAATATAATGCAATTAATGTTGCAATGTATGCCAATAAGGCATTTAAGCTGAACAATGCTGTTAAAAACATTATGCTTATAATTAGAATTTACTCTAACTTAAAACTTTTATAAAATAAAATTTTAACTCCAAGGAACACAGTATTTATATTATTTGCAAAGCACGATAATTATAATGTCTGTTCAATACAAAATAAATCAAGGTTATACATGTGCAGATTGAATAGGCTATAATTATTTATGATATATTTATTTTAAATAATCTTATCAGGAAATTAATTATAACTTAAATAAATAACAAGTTTAGTACTTTAAGATCAAGTTTAACTTAATGTAACGTGTATTGTGACCATTATATAGTAATTAAAGTAAATGTACTTGCATTTAAATATAACTTGATAGAATTTAATTAATGAAGAGATTTTTATTTTCTAAATAAAAGTATGTGATTCTATATTCAAAATAGGTTTCGGTCAAGTAACAAGTTAGTATCTAAATGCAAACAAGCTTACGCTTATTGTTATAGGGTGATCACTAGTTACATTCGATATTTTTCAATGTAAATAAAATTTTATATTTATTAATTATATACAATCAGTTGATAATTTATTTAACTATAAACATCAAACCCATAATGTTATAATAATTAAATAAGAAATTTTTTTTTAATAGTTTTGTTATCAATGATTAAAATTAAAAATATTGTTTAGAATTAAAATATTAATTAATAATTTCCGTTTTTTATACACCTAACACAAGAAATTTTATTTGAACATTAATATTAAATAATCTCGATTTTTAAATTTAGAAGAAAAATTAACGTCAAATATGTGTTATCTATTTTAAAGAAAATCCGATCAAATATTTTCTATTTTTAAACCTAAAGGTGGTCGCGCTACCTCTGGCACTGATTGTCAATGCTTTCGATGACTTGAACTGTTTCGCACAGCGGAGAGAGCCATCTGTCGCTCACTATTTAATACATGATTAATTAAAAGTTAGTGAATGTAAACTAGTAATTAAGCCGTAATCTATGTATTTATTCATATTATTTCCGTTATAATGACATTTAAAGCGAGTATTGATTGTATTTCCTTCCAAGCCTTATGAAAACTATACTCAAATACAATCAACACTCGGTTTAAATAACACATGTTCTCATATAATATTACCACTACCAATATAATGACTTATCTTGTAAATAACATGATTTATGCTTACTTACAAAAATAAAAATGTTATACAGTATTTATCACTATTAATGTATTAGATAATAATTTATATGTAAAATTAAACTTAATTAAAAATAATTATATCAAATTACAAAACTATTATTAAAACATCTGTAGAACAAACAGTGCTATTATAAAAAGTGTGGATTTTAATTATAAAGGTGTGGATTGTTAAAATTCAACAAAATAATAATATACAGCCAGACTGGTATGTAACCGCATAGCTATATGTTATAGAGTGATGGGCGCCGTAGTATAAATAGTGTAAAATGTGTGAAAAAATTAAAAGTTTGATCACAGAAAAAATAAAATTTTCAAAATCAATTTTTATTTAAATAATGTCATTTATTGAAAACAATGTTTTAATTCAAATTCAATTACATGATTTGTAATCAAAATACACTAAATTTTGTCTATTATTTCACAAAATATTTTCAATTTTAAACTAATCATAAATGTTTTTAAATTTTATGAGTGTTTTGTTGATTGAAATGAAAAGTAAATTAAATGCTGTAAAGAGTTGATTGCAATTTATGTAAAATCAATGATAAAGTGCTAAACAATTGTCATATCATTACTTATTTTGTGAAATAATAAACAAAATTCAGTGTATTTTGATAACAAATCATAATTAAACATGAGTGACAATGTTTTGAGCGATTTGTATTCAATAAAAACAAGGGTTGAATGATGTAATTGAATTTGAATTAAAACATTGTTTTCAATAAATGACATTATTTAAATAAAAATTGATTTTGAAAATTTTATTTTTTCTGTGATCCAACTTTTAATTTTTTCACACATTTTACACTATTTATACTACGGCGCCCATCACTCTATAACATATAGCTATGCGGTTACATACCAGTCTGGCTGTATAGTGCACTATTGTTTTAATTAAAGCATTATTGATAAGCATAAATGATTATTTTTGCATTTGTTTGAAAGTATTGTTTTTGGCATTAATTTTAATTTGAAAACTATTTGATTGTAATTTTAATCAAACGTTTCGTACAATCAGTTCATCTAATCTTAAGTTATGGCACAACAGTTAACACATTTGATGGCATCACTCGAGATCACAGATGACGACAATAAAGACATTCAACAGGTATTTGACAAATAATTTTTAATTGAGTTTTATTTTTGTTTCGTATTTTAGCTAAAGATTTACGCGAAGGACTCAATGGACAGATTCGGTGACGACATGTATGGACTCATATTACTGTATCTCTCACTTGAAGACAGATTCCGTTACGAATGTGTGTCCAAACAGTACCAGAGGACAGTCTTCGAGTGTGTTGTGGACATCGAACTCAACGATCAACTCATTAGAAAAATCCTTAAAACAAAGACAACATTAACTCAAACGTTAACCAAAAAGTTACTAAACATTAAGACCATTGATTGTCGAGGAATGATATGTGATAACAATGTTTTGCAGATATTTCACGACAATTGCCGATATTTGCGGCACATTTCCTGCGATATACCTTCAAATCGTAATCAACTGATCCCAAAGTTAAGACCTCTGGTCACCAGAATTAGTGGCGTTTCGGCCAAACAAACGTTCATTAATTACCACCGATTGTCTCATTTGTCGGTCACTTTTATAGACAACGTATTCGACAAGAATTCCCGACTAATGGCGAAGAATTTGTTGGGTTTTGAGTTTACATTCAAACTGCAAGAATTTAACAACCAATTGGTGTCGGCATTCGTGGCCCAGAATCAGTCCCTCAGATGTCTTGTCATAAAAGAGATCCAATTCATCACTTCGGAGGAACTCAACGAACTGATCAAACAATTGTCACGATTACCACAATTACGGCAATTGAAGCTTGAATTTCGTTCGCTTCCCAAACACTACTCATTGTGTGAGTCTTTGCGTCCAATTGGTGTGAATTGCAAACAATTGAAACGATTGTCACTCGTATTGAGCTCTAACACCACTCAAGTAATGGTTTCAATGGAATTGTTTCGACAGTTAAAACAACTCGATTTAACGCTCTATTCTCAATGGTTTAGCCCCCGGATTACGGGTCAGAGATTAACGCATATATCCCTCAATTGTTTGCAATTAAACAGCAATTTATTAGTCAATTGTCACGAACTTTGGCCACGACTTCAATACCTATCCATTGAATGCCTAAACTTTAGCCGCCATTGTTTGGATCAGATCTCAACACTACCGGCTCTGCAAACACTTATCGTTCAATGCTTTGTAACCATTGATCTCTCGGACAGTAATTTCTCGGATGTGTTGTTCAAAAGCCCAAAACTAAAGACAATCGAAATGTGTTTAAACAATTATAAGAAGTTTTATTCAAAATAAAAATGCAATCAATATTTAATATTTGAATAATAATTATAACAATCGAGTCATACAATTATGATTTGTTTTTGATTTTAAATTTGTAAAATATTTGTATAACTAATACATGACTTGTAATCATTTAAAAAATAAAAATATTAATTATTTATTATAATTATTACAGTGTTTTATTCAGTTTATACACAGAAATGATAAATATTTGAGTTTTTATTAATTAATATAATCAATAATTAAGTTAGATGAATAAACAATTAACTTTCAATTTGTATTTTTATAAAAAAAAGTAATTTCTTGTAAAAAATATTATTAAAATAAAGGTATTTTAATTTTAATGTTTAATTTTAATATGTTATAAAATTATTTTTATAAATGGCAATAAAATTACAAATTGAACATTATTTTGGTTCTAATGTTTAGCAAACTAATTATTAAAATTTTATACTAAATATAATATTATATTATTTAATTTTAAATAAGCTATGATTTCAACAATGATTATATTATCTCTTTTCAACGCCAATTTGTATGGCTTCGGGGGTTAAGAGGAACTCAAACTTCTTATACTTTAGCGGAACCGCTGTATTAGCCGTACGTTTGAATCGGTATTTAGTGATGAGATGCGCGACAGCAGTCTTGGCCTCCATTAACGCAAACCTCATTCCCACACAATTTCGTGGACCCAAACCGAAAGGCAGGTAAGTGTAGGGCACTAATTGATCACGATTTTCGGGTAAAAACCGCTCGGGATCCCAAACATCGGGATTCGGGTAATACTCGGGGCTGTGATGTACGCTGTGAACGTCAAAATTAATCATCATTCCTTTAGGAATAGTTAACCCAGTGTTGCCTGTAAAACATTATCACATAAGTTATCAATACACAAACTGATATTCATTTTATTATCTATATTGCATTGTAAATAAGTTTAGAGTAATATTATATTAAATCCATAAATATTAAAACGTAAGCATGGAAATGACATAAAACTGACCTAGCTTATAGTCGTCGAGGGCTATTCTACTGGTGGCCGCAATCGGGTTATAGAGTCGGAGCGTCTCTGCAATACAGGCCTCCAAATACGGCATTCGAGCGATTGATTCGTAGCTATAGTTGCCGTCGAAGGCATTGATCTCTTCGTATAGTCTTTGCTGACACTTCTCTTTGAGAGACAACTCATACGTCAAAAACGACAATAGAGTGGCAGTTGTCTCATATCCGGCCACAAAGAATAGGAAACTCGTGGCCAACATATCGTCGTCAGTGATGACCACATTTGCCGTCTTCTGGTCTTTCAAAGCATCGGTTGTGCCGAAGATGTGTTCGTTGAGGTCATCGATGTCCTGATCCTCACTATTGTCTGCACTCCTATTCTGGGCGTTAATCATAAGCTGCAGATAATCCCTGTGTTTGACTGAATTGCGTTGAGATCTCCGTTTAGAGATAATCGATGAAATCTATCAACAATTTACATTGTATTATTAAAATGCAGTTTAAACATGGTTATTTAAATAGTATGTTTACTAAAGTTAATACCTATTAGTTTCAAATATGTTATCAAAATTATATTTACTAACCGCTGACCGGAAAAAGTGTTCAACCGATGGTTTCATTGTTGAAATGCCTATTTTTTCCGTCAATTTTGGGAATGTTGTGGTCATTAGAAACATAAACCATAGACGCCAATTGCCACGAAGCACTTGTTGAGCATTGGCCACAAACTCGTTGGTTTTATTGTCGTTATGAACGTCTATTTGAGTGCCAAAAGCACACGAAGCGATCACATCCATAGTTAGGTTACCCATCGCTCGCTTCACATCCAATTCATCCCCATTTATAGCTTTTGTCTCCAAGTATTGGTCCAATCGATGGACACAATCCGTGATCATGGGATGCATTGCTCGCATCTTTCCCGATGAAAATGTCGGACTTATCTATCAATTCAAACACATTATTATAAGACATACTGTATTTAAAAAATTTTACTAAATGATCACAATTTCTATGTAATACTAACCACAGATCGCATGGCTTTCCACTCGTCTCCCATCAGATTAAACAACGACCGGTCGTTCAACGGATCGCCAGATTTCATGTCCGAGTGATCAACAAAGTTATGAAAGTCTTTAATAGATATATCTTTGATGAGCTCCGGGTCGGCAATAGTTAGCACAGGTGTAGAGAAACCAAATTCCCTGTAAATCAAGTTGGGTTAAAAATGTTACCTGATTAAAAATTAAAATTAATTATAATACAAACCCATAGATTTTTCCATATTTTTTGTAGTTATCAAAACTAGCTTGATGTATTGGCTTGGTAAACATTTCCCACATTGTACCTAATACTACCACTGGTTTTGGTCCGGGAATACCACGATCTTTCCAATAGTTAAAGTTCTTGGTTAAATAACTGTTGGTTAAAAATAAATTGTTAACATCACCATCATAAATTAATATTTTAAAAATTTATTACTTACAAATATAATGCAATTAGTATTGCAATAAATGCCAATAAGGCATTTAAGCTAAACAAAGCAGCTAAAAACATTATGCTTAATTAATAATTATAATTAACTTCAACTAACAGTTTTATAAAATTAAATTGTTATACAAATGAACACAGTATTTATATGATTTACAAAGTTCTTATCTACATAATTATATTTAGTTTCTGTTTAATATAAAATAAACCAAGGCTATTCAAGGGTAGATTCGATTCACAATATATAGTAGTATTTATGATATAAGTTATATATTAAGTTGCAATCTTATCAAGAAATTTACTATTACTAAAATAAATACTAACTTTAGTACTTTAAGATCTAGTTTGACTTAATATACTTTTTACATTATTTTTATTTAATGACTGTTTTTAATATAAAATAAAAATTTACCGTTATTTTATCAACAATAAATTATCAGCATTTAACCGGTTGATACAAAATTATTAAATCAGGCACAAACCCCCTCCCCCTTATGTTTGCATTTGTTTACATGTAGTCATTTAGAAAAAAGTACGTTCGCGTATACAAAATAATATTAAATACCTATTGTATTTTTAAAAAAATATAAAAAGGTGTATCATTAATATAATATCATGATTACATTTCTTAAAATTAAATTTATTGAATGAATTATTGATAAAAACAGCACAATAATAATAATTATACATTCATTTAATATTTTATGTTTAACAATATTATTAATAAAACTTTTTACGATAAACAAAGTGAATTCTCAAAAAATAATGTATTTTTATCATTTCTGTGCAAATAATGGCGTAATTTATCGCTTCTCGATACCAATATGTATGCCTCCGGGGGTTAAGAGAAACTCAAACTTCTTGTACTTCAGCGGAACCGTTGTATTAGCCGTACGTTTGAATCGGTATTTAGTGATGAGATGCGCGACAGCAGTCTTGGCCTCCATTAACGCAAACCTCATTCCCACACAATTTCGGGGTCCCGTTCCGAACGGCATATAAGTGCCGGACACTAATTGATCACGATTTTGTGGCATAAACCGCTCAGGGTCCCAACAAAATGGATTCGGGTGATAATCGGAGCTTTTATGTATGCTTTCAATGTCAAAGTTGATGATCATTCCCTTGGGTATGGTTATACCTGTATTTCCTGTAAAACATAATGATAAATGTTATACACATAAGTATATTATTGCACAACGCATACAAACTATATTTATAAACAATATTTACCAAGTTTATAGTCATCGATGGCTACTCTACTAACGGCCGAAACTGGATTATAAAGTCTGAGCGTCTCTGCAATACAGGCCTCCAAATACGGCATTCGAGCGATTGATTCGTAGCTATAGTTGCCGTTAAAAGCCTTAATCTCTTCGTATAGTTTTTGCTGACACTTCTCATTGATAGCTAACTCGTAGGTCAGAAACGACAATAGAGTGGCAGTTGTCTCATATCCGGCCACAAAAAATAGGAAACTCGTGGCCAACATATCGTCGTCAGTGATGACCACATTTGCCGTCTTCTGGTATTTCAAAGCATCGGTTTTGCCGAAGATGTGTTCGTTGAGGTCATCGATGTCCTGATCCTCACTATTGTCTGCACTCCTATTCTGGGCGTTAATTATAAGCTGCAGATAATCCCTGTGTTTACCAGAGTTGCGTTGAGATCTCCGTTTAGAAATGATTGATGTAATCTATTAACATATAAGATAATGTACATAGTATCATTAAAATGTTGTTTAAACATGATATTATTTAAAAAGTATGTTTACTAATCGTCAATAGTTATTAGTTTTGTGTTTTAAAGTAGTTTTGAAAGTTTTATTTACTAACCGCTGATCGGAAGAAGGATTCAACCGATGGGTTCATTGTTGAAAAGGCTATTTTTTCAGCCAATTTAGGCATTGTTGATGTCATTAGTATCATAACCCATAGACGCCAATTGCCACGAAATACTTGCTGAGTGATCGGAAGAAGGATTCAACCGATGGGTTCATTGTTGAAAAGGCTATTTTTTCAGCCAATTTAGGCATTGTTGATGTCATTAGTATCATAACCCATAGACGCCAATTGCCACGAAATACTTGCTGAGCGTTGGCCACAAACTCGTTGGTTTTGTTGTCGTTATGAACGTCTATTTGAGTGCCAAAAGCACACGAAGCGATCACATCCATAGTTAGGTTACCCATCGCTCGCTTCACATCCAATTCATCCCCATTTTTAACCTTTAACTCCAAGTATTTATCTAATCGATGGACACAATCGATGACAATTGGATGCATTGCTCGCATCTTTCCCGATGAAAATGTTGGACTTATCTATAAATGTAAAAATAATTTATATAATAAATGATAACTGTAAATATTGCAATACATAATAAATTATTTTATATGTTTATCTAAAGGATTACAATTTAAATTAATACTAACCACAGATCGCATACCTTTCCACTCGTCTCCCATTAGATTAAACAACGACCGGTCGTTTAACGGATCGCCAGATTTTACATCGTTGTGATCAACAAAGTTATGAAAGTCTCTGATATTCATGTCTTTGATGAGCTCCGGGTCGGCCACTATTAGCACCGGTCGAGAGAAAACAAAGCCCCTATACATAAAATAACAGTTATTTTAAATTATAGTAAACTTATAAAAAGTTATTATTTTTGTACTGCAATGAAATTGTATTTTATGTTTTACAAACCCATATACTTTGCCGTATAATTTATAGTTATCCAAATTAACTTGATTTAGTGGCTTGGTAAATATTTGCCACATTGTGCCAAATAGTGCCACAGGCTTTGGACCGGGAATGCCACGATTTTTCCAATAGTTGAAGTTGCGAGTTAAATAACTGTTGATGATAAAATAAATAAATTTTGATCATGTCTTTATTGGTATTTAATAGTTTAAATATTTGAAACTTACAAATATAGTGCACATAGTGTTGCAATGTATGCCACCAATGCATTTAAGCTAAACAAAGCTCCTAAAAACATTATGCTAAATATTATTAAATACAACTTAAATTTACTTAAAACATTTATTAAATTGTAATTGGTAAATTGTAAAACCAGTGTTATATATAGTTAGAATAGAACTCAAATGTACTTTGTTAGTTTTAGTTTGCTAAAAAATAAACGAAATAAATAAATCAAGGGTAGATCTATTATCAATTTATGGTATATTCAATGCTTAATAATCTTATCATAGTACTTTTATATTTATAGTGCGTTGGGAGCTTATTAGACGTAATATACATTTGACATTATATTTTAATTAATAAACGTGTTTAATAAAAAATTACCTTTTATTAATGATAACTTATCAACATTAACTTTAATATAGCACTCGGCTATAGTAAGTGATGATTTTATTTAACACTTTAAACTTTTTGTTTATAATGCATTATGTTTTATAATAAACTAGCTAATGTAAACTCGATTAGCTAGAGTAACATTATTTAGTTAGTGTTAGCGCAAATTTATCGACCAATATGTAATAACGCACGTATTGTATCACAAACTAAAACCACAAGGAATATAAAATTAATAAATAACACAAACATGACCATGCACAATTTACACACCCGGCCAAACAATGGAAATGTCATGACTGCGATCGGGCCAATACTGGCGCCCAATTTCCTATCGCTACTCAGTTTCTCGTAACACATCATTAACTTAAGCTTAAATTTTGTGCGAAAAACACCTCGATTTATACCCCATTGAAATTGTGACAAATGTTTGTGCATTTTATGCATACGGCCTGAATATGACGCAAATAAGTATTGAATTCCAAATAAACTTACAAATGTACCTAGTACAATAATTGCAAACAATAGTTTGATCAAGATTGTAGATGATTGGCTGTATATTAATTGATGTAATAAGATCAAACTGACCGGCACTATTGTCAATAAAGTACCCAGGTATAGATCACTAATGAAGTTGTTCAACTTTTTGTTTGTGATGCAAATTTTATTATGTTCAATAATAAATATATTAATTTGTTTTAATGTATTAAAGTTATCAAACATGGCAATATTTATAGATGTTACTAGATTGATAGTAATAATTTTGTTTAACCTGATCATTTGCAATAAATTATAATAGACCGGTATAATTAAGATGGTTCCGCCTAATAATGTACTGCATATCACTTCTACAATGATATTCCATGAAATTAATTGGGCAAATAGTGACATGATAAATTGATTTATTGTATAATGCATAATTATATTTAATATCCATAATGCAATAAATAGTCCAACTATGTATGTATAAAAATCAATATCAGTTTAAAATTATAAAAATTTAATGTATATAATATTATTTACTTACGTATTAACGTAATAATTATATTTAAAATTTTATAATATGCCTTTAACATGGTGGAAATTTGCAATATTACAATAGGGTTATCAGATATGAAATTAGGAGTGCCACGTTCCTTATGACCATGTTGTATTAAATACCATATAGTTATGCAAATTTGATAATTACTAGGATTTAAAATATTTAGCTTAATGTGTAGAATAAGACCATAAATGAATGTTAAAACATAAATTAATATTTGATATGTTTTAATACCGCCAGTAATTATAGTTACATCAAATAATATTAGTCTAATTTCGTAATCCAAGTTGGTGGTAAGAATTATCATATAAGTAATTATTAAAATCACAAAGTTAAATGTAGTCAAATAATTAGCAAATAATGTTTTATTGTATTTACGACATTTTAATCTGTTTATTAATCGATGTAAGTAATAATTTATAAACTTATTGTTAACTGACAAATGTGACATGTTTTTAATAAACATGTTAATAAATTAAAGTATAATAAATTATATTAAATTATGTTAAAATATAGTTTACAAATATCATGTTATTATATAAGTTAAAAGCGATATTTGACAGAATGACCTTAATGCAATATGAAAAATGAATAATATTATGTTGAATTTAATTGCATTTTCAGGAAAACAGTACATGGAATACAACCAAGTTTTAATTTAAATTATTTGCAAACTTAAGTTTTAAATAAACGTCTGTCAATATTTAAATAAATGCATACTCAAATAAAATTAATTAACAATATATTATATAATATTTAAATAAATGATATTTATATTAAATATTTATTATTTTAATAAATTTTTATTATTTGTTATTTAATAATTTTTTATAAATTAGCAATTATTAAGCTCCGAACTTTTCTGCTATTTATTCATTTTTATGAGTTGTGCGAAAAATCAAACTCTGGGACAAATGATAATTTATAAAATTATATTAAATTAATAATTTATATTACGCTTGTTTTAGTATTTTATAATATATTATAGCTTTAGCTGATATTATATAGTAATTTTGTTTAATCGATTTTATTACAGATCCAATTGAATTACAGTATTTGTCGTAAATTACAATTGGTCCCAGAGCTTGATTTTTAGCACTACTCATAAGCAGCAGAAAAGTTCGGAGCCTAGCAATTATATAAAACACTTAATTATTCTCAATTAAATATTATAATTATTATAATATTTATACTCACAAATATACTTGAAATTACACTTTGTATTTATCAGGTTATTCTAATAATATTATATTATAATCTATTGGTAAGCTTAAGCGTATTCTTTAATGACTCATGCCAATAAAAGATAAATTACATTAATCTACTAATTGTGTAGAAATAAAATGTAACTATTTGTATTTATCAGATATTAATGCACTGGCATTTTTAAAAATTTACATTTATCATTTATAAAAATGTATGCAATAGATATGTGTCGGATGTATTGCTATTGTATTAATTAATAGCAATTTAAATAAAAATATGTTGCTAGCTTATTGTGTAACATAGTTTGTAATACCTGTATAATCTTACATTGTATATCCACGATAACAATCCATGTGTAAAAATATTTACCGCTCATAACAATAGGCTATCACTTATACCACTGATATTAGGGTACCGTTCACTCAATGCGTACAAAATACCTCAGCTTTAATATCCGGCAATTGTTTAGTCTATTAAAATATATAACAAATGACAAATTAATCTTTGTTAATTTATTGTATTATACTGTACGTACGTTTTGTGCTAATTATATTATCAGTTGACTGTATATGTAATGATAGATAATTTAATAAATAAAAGGTAAATATAACAACCATTTGATGTTTAGGTAACGCAAAGCAAAAATAGTTTTATTGTTGAATCCATAGTAAATATTACAAAAAACTGATAATGGTAGAATTATTTATTTTTCAAAGTGTTACTGTAATAAACATAAAGTACTACAAACATACTGTAACTAAATGAATTCACTTAGCATGCTGTGTTTTATTCTAAACTCTAATTAAACTAGTTAATTAAAAAAATTAATATAGATGTTTTATAACTAACTAACCCTTATATAATGGGTTGTAGAAAAAGTTTTCGTATATTTCTGAAAATAATCATCTCGTTGGGATGTCTAACACTGTGCGGTTACCAGATATATATCGTGGGTGTGCTGTACCTGTCATATCCGACCACGGTGGATTTACAAATTGGCCGATCGCTCAATGTCCATTTACCCGGCATCACAATTTGCACCGAGATTTCGGCCACTATTATCACCGACAAAATCATTGAACTACAACCATCGCTTTACGCAGCCCTACATGGTTTGTATTTTGTGATATTTTAATTACCTAGACAATACTCAAGTTATTTAACATTCAATTTATATTTTATATTTACCAAATGCTGTGCATAATACTTAACTTTACTTAATACTTACATAATACCTTACTTAACACCAACTCCTATTTATATAAAACCTATCAACTTTATTTTATTAAAAAGTATAATTAAATAATATACATTAAAAATTATCATGCTAACAACTAAAATGTAAAATGTCACCCAGGTAAATCTCAGCGGCAAATATTATTTTTACTACGAAAAAAGACCTTCAAGGAATTGGTGGCCCAACCATTACGGGGTCTACCCATACATATGCAACATAGATACACAATAAATGCAACAAGGTTTTTTGACAAATGTGAATTACCAACACCAGTGGGGTATAGACAGGGCGATGCCCAAATCACTAGCAACAGGATCAATTGTAGCGCCATTGCCGACATCGTTGAAACTATTTCCTATGACCAGAAATGTTATACACTATTTTATAATAATGGCAATAATTATGATAAAAGTAAGTACAGGATTAACCGTGATGAAGCGGCCAATCTCAAGAACCTGGCCTGGATCAGGATCAATCGCGATTATATGTTCAACGGTCTGATTTACATTCATTCACCAAAACGTAAGTTAAATATAATGTAATTAGATGTAATAAACTAAATGTAATTTTAGTAACAGACAGTATCTATGATTTTATTTAAACATTATAAATTTTAAATCAACAAAAAAACAATTAATAAATACCTAACTATTAATATCATGTTCACACTTACACTTAGAGCTTCACCAATACTCCAACGGCAACAACGTGTGGCAAATCAACGCCAATCGGGACCAGTTCATCGGGCTGTCGTTCACGCGTCAAACCACCAAGCTCCTACCGCAACCCTACGCCACCCAGTGCAAAAACTATAGCCTAGAGGGTTTTACATCGCGGCAACACTGCCTATACGACTGCAAAGTAACCGCCTATACGACGGCCGACGGGTGGCCGGGCGACGTGTTCGCCACCCATAACGTCACCTATAGTTTCTCGAAGCTCTGGATGAACGACAAGTCGCCGGCAGGACATCTGGAGGAAGGCCTGTCTGTGGACCAGTTGTGTCGCCGCAAGTGCGGTGAGTACGAGGACTGCACCACAACTTTCTACGAGGTTCGCCCACTCAGGACCGAAGAGCGCGATGAGGATGACTACGAGAATATGGATTGGTTTACCATTGGTATTATGCCGCCCAAGTCGGTCGATATGACCATGGTGCATTTGCCCAAGTACGAACCCATCGAGTTTGCTGTGAGTTGTGTTTTTTTTGTTACACCTTTTTAACAATATGTAACTTTTACTGTGTTTTTAAGTAGCTGCATACTTTTTTACTTAATTTATTTTACTCTCAATTAGTACTAAAAAATAATACATTTTATTAATTATTTAATTTGCATAAAGATGATAAAAGTAAACGAACTACAACTAATTAAATTATAAAACTAACTGACTACTTAAATAATATTAATTAAATTACATTGTAATAGATATACGTGGGCGGACTGATCAGCCTATACCTCGGCGTCAGCGTTGTGTCTGTAATCGTGGCGTTGTTTGCATTCCTCACGTTTACCTCAAAGAAGGGTCCGTTTGGTCCGTCAAAGAAGCCCTCGTCAGCCAAGTCTAGCCATGAGATGCTGTCAATGGACAAGACTGGCCGACCCGTCGCCGGCGGCTGCACCGGTAGAAGTGGTGCCGGAGACGGCGCGTCAGATGTAGAAACTAATAATAATAACGATAACCCGTTTATTAATAGGGAAAGGCAACCGGTGAGACCGGCCCCGGAACCGCCCCGGCATCGCTACCCGGGCATATTTCATTTTATGTTTGAAACTTAGACCATGTGTGTTTTTGTAATTTGTGTGTTATTTATCTTTTGTGTTTTTGTTTAGTTTTTATTGATTTTTATTAAGTAAATTGTATATGAATTAATGTTGTATTTTTTAATTTTATATATAAACAATTATTTTAAATATTTTTTGTAGTGTTTTATTGATTTCTAATTAATTATAATAAATAAGAATTTAAATTTTGTTAAAAATAATTACAATTTATATAATTATAAATTAAAAGAGATAATTAGATTATGTAAAAAAGTATATAAGAGTGTTGTATCCACGATTTTTTCTAAATACCATATTTATAGATTTTAGTCACGTGGTATAATTAATATGAGGCAATTCTAAATCACTATATTAAATGTTAAAAATGTGTATTATATAAAAAATGAATTACTAAAATCAAGCAAGTAGTTTAGTATTTATGGGCTATAAATTATGGCTAAAAACATATAAATGGTTAGTATTTAAGAATTAAGTAATATGGAACAAGCTTATGATCATGAACAATTCATATAAATTATTCTACCCGTATGGGGAACAGTGACCAACACAAAACTAAACTCTGTACTTATGATGTTATAATAACTGACAACAAATCAATTTAATTACTGTAAACACATATTTAATAATGTTCAGTGATTTTACGCTTTAGACTTATCAAGATTAATGAGCGCTTTTATAAACAACAATTGTATAGATTTGTGATGAGGTGGCGTGGGTTCGGCATACTGTGACCAATCGCACTGCATGTTTGCTACTTCAGGATGCTTGCCGTAATAAGTGTCCACGTACGATTGAATTGTAATGAGCCATAATTTAAGCGTCGCTTTGGTGGCCTCAGTCATTGGAATATCTCTGGTCGCTTTAACCCATTTATTCAGTAAACTAAATAGTTACAAGTTACAATTTTGTCATAAATATGGTTGATCTTAATTTTTAAAAACAATTCACATATCAATAATGTGGTTTATAGAATTAGTTGGTTATCTTGGACATCTGGTCAGCCTAGCCACAGTAAGTGCAGGCATATTTTAAAAGGAATCCATTTCCATTATTTACCATTTCCATTTCCAGATTATGAAATAAAATAATGATTTAGCTCAAATATTCACATCGCTGTCTATATAATCAGCACGTGAATATTTGTACTAAATTATTATTTTATTTCATAATCTACATTCTTTATAATTAGTCATATTTAAACCGTCTATGTTAGGACGTAAGACGACTTTTAAAATGGATATGAAATAGTTATACAAATAGTATCATGAGTAAAAGTTACTACTGTATTTCATACGCTTTTCTAAAAGTCGTTTCCGTCCAAACATAGACAGGTTAAGTCTCTCTATTTATAATCTATAATCTGTATGTAACAAATTTAATTTTATCAACATGGGCTATATTTATGACTAACCACTTCCACCGCACTCCCACACATCACATGTAACAAGTATCAATAGCACAAACCAATAAACATCATTTAATGTGAGCTTGGTGTCGGGCTTGCCAGCGGCCAAAAGTGCCTTGGTAATACCATCGCGGGCCGGTTTCCAATCAATATTTTTAGCGCCTACTTCTTTCATAGAACTCATACGATTAATACTGTCAGCGCCGGCGGCCCAACCCTTGCAAACCAATGTCATGCTTCGCCTCATATCAAACAAGTGGTTGATGTAATGCGCGGCCAATTGGCTGTGGCCGTAGTCGGCCAGTATCGCCGCACGTTTGGCCTCCAAGTCGTTAATCCTGTTGTAAAGTTCGCACACTTTGTAATTATTCTTACTGTTAAATAAACTGTTTGCTGATTCTAACATTGATTCTTAATTCAACTTTATAAAATAAGTCTACAAATTTAATTAATGATAGCAATAATTATTATTTAATCTTTATTTAATCTTAATTATTATTTAATTATGGTCTCTTCAATTGAATTGAATTTATTGATTCCTATACACGTAAATATATACAACTTAATCTGATTTTCATGCACACGTGTTTAAAACTACAATAAATTATATTAAATAAGTTTTCATTTAAAGTAAGGTTTTGTTTTAATTAATAAACACTATTTCACAATAATAGAAAATATAAAATAACCCAGATACCCATCATTATCAGCCCGCACCACTCGCCGCGTGACAATTATAATACAAACTTTACACGACTGTATCAAAACAAAACATTAATAAGGTATTACTTTACTTGTTGCAATAAACGGTTATAGCCGTACGGTTATCCGTAATAAGGTGACCAGGTACTCCATGGCCCATTAGATCCAAAAACCAAGTATCTAGCTCATTTTCATCGTGTTTCAAAGAGCTCAATCCGTCAAATCCTGTATTAAAATGCAATTGATATTTGTATTAAACTTTAATTAATATTTAAATAATAATCGTTTCAAATAAAAATAGATATTTAATTTAATAATAGTTTACATGTATATAGATATTAGTATTTGACATAAATCTTACTGACTTGTTAAGATTAAAGTTAGACATATTTGTATACAAAGATTCATTCTGCAAATAACTTTTTTTTTAAATTATTGTAGACAACATATGTTTCTAGATATTAATAATTAATGTGTAAGAGAGAGAGAGAGAGAGAGAGAGAGAGAGAGAGAGA